TAAAACTCGCCCAAATGAAAGAAAATGGGTGATATTTTTATCTTATAAATGTTTTAAGCATTAAACATTGCTGCATTAACCAAACGAGGCCATCAGTTTATCGCCATTTCATAGCTCGAAAATTAGCATATTTACATCGTTCCACGAAACTTCAATTTACTCATAAATGAAACGTTATTTTCAAAAACCAAATACATGGTTGTTTATCTTATATAATAGGGTACCTAAGTTCAGAGTATGAGCGAAATCGATTTTTCAAGAGTTGGCACGTTATGTTTGATTTTTACTGACATCCGCTCTTAACAAATTGTTATGTTACTAGCACAGATCTGACAATGGCTGCTTCTAATCATCAGAACATGCTTCACTTGTGCTTTTAAAAACCTTCTTGACATAAGAAATTACAAACAGAATGCCAGAATCCCAGCAGCTATAGCCTTACTGTAAGTTTTGTTAATGACTTTGATTTGTAATAATTAAAATATTGTTTACATCAGTAGAGTTGGCTTGCAAAGACACGAATGTTTAGAATATACTAGATAATTCATGTACCTATCAATGGTTTGTAGGATAGGGGAGAAGGTGGGATCTATTACAGCAGTATTTTAATAAAAGTAATAAAATTACTTGAAAGTAATGGACAGGGCTGTCAAAGGTTATGTTTTGTGCATATGTTTTTGTTGAGTACCCAATTATGAAGAATGGTCATTAGTTTTTCCAAAGCATTATAACTTGATTCCTTTATTTCTATATCATGTATCTCATAGAACCATACGGTCCTCATATTCATATCTTATTTTCTAATTACCGCAGCCCAACATCTATTTAACACCAACCTGCTCCCAGTCTGGTCTTGTAGCTCAGCTGGTTAGAACATCAGTAGTACAAACACCAGGTTCGTGGGTTTGAGTCCCGGCGAGGTCGGAAATTCTTTTTCCCAAATTTATTCCTAAGTGTCTTTCTCTTAGAATAACTATAACTTTCCTTTATTTCTATATCATAAAGAACGATGGCAGAATGGGATTGACAGCCCTAAATGAATATAATTATCATGATGGCCAATAGGGGCAAGAAAAACTGTTATCCTAGCTAAATAAAGTTTATTCTCTAAATAAACCTCAGGAGCTATGACTCAGGACTCCATTAGTCCAGAACTGGACCCTCTTTTCTCAATTACTATAGTTAATATTCTATGTAAAAGTTAAAAATCCAAAGCGCGCGCTACAGAAAAAATTGTGACCGTTGAGAATGCTGATTCAAAATAATAGTTTTCAACTCCGCGCGCGCAAGAATAAAAGAGGGTCCAGTTCTGGACTAGGACTCCATAAGTTGGTTGAAAAGAGGCCAGGACTGGACTATGTTCCTAAGTTGTTCATTGTTCATGAATACCAGGGCTATATCTATATATAGAGTAGGTTTATCTAAATATAGCCCTTTTGGCACTAAGGGAAATATGTGCTATATACAGCACTGCAAGAATTACAATGAAAACAGATTCAATGAGAGAATAAAGGGATTAAAAGACAGGTGTGAGGAATATAAAAATCAATCTCTAAAATCTGGCAAATTCCCTGGGTAAGTCCCTTCATTCTCAGACAAACCATTAATAGGTGCACGAAAACGAGATTTTCTTTTAAAAGAAAAAAATGTCACGCTATATCGGGAAGATAAATGTGGTAAATTATTTATAAATCACTCCTATATGAAAAGGTTCGTATACCCTGGCGTATAACGGCCAATTACCAGCAACTGGTGGTATTATAAACACCGTGTCATATCGTACAATTTCGTACAAGTTTGTAGTTCTTTAATCTAGAACCAGGCTTTTTTTTGTTTGATCTGAGTAGCCATCCAGTCCAATCCTTCGTATAAACCATCGCCTTTTGTAGCACAAGCAGATTGGACAAACCAAAGTCTATCGCGAATTTCATTCAGTTTCAACTGCTCTCGAACCTCCGAAGCGGTCATAGCTAAAGGCATATCTTGTTTGTTGGCAAATACTAGTAAAATAACATTTTGTAATTCCTCTTCGTCAAGCAGTTTTTTCAGTTCTATTTGAGCCTCCTGTATTCGTTCCCTGTCGGAGCTGTCTACAACAAAAATTAGTCCTTGACAACCTTGATAGTACACTCTCCATAGGCTTCTTATCTTATCTTGACCACCGATATCCCATACTGTAAAACTAATATTTTTATAATTTACAGTTTCCACGTTAAAACCAAGAGTAGGCACAGTGGATACAACTTCTTGAAGCTTGAGCCGATATAATATGGTAGTTTTGCCGGCATTATCGAGACCAATCATGAGTATTCTGCAATCCTCTTTGCCCAACAGACGATCAAAAACCCTTGTAAAAGAAGATAACACACTTCCCATTGTTTGTAAGTAAATATTAAAAGATTTTGCCCAGACTCGATCCGTTAACCTTTCAAAGGACACATCACCTTTAATTTGCATTTGGTGATAACAACATCGACTATGAACACAAGTAGCGCTGGCTCATAAACAAAATGGCCGAAGCATCTTGTCGAATGTGCAGTTTATTTCGAAGCAGGCACGGGCTGTTTGCGTGTAGAAAAAAAGGTGTGTCGATAAAAAAGAGGTTGCAAAAGAGGACTTTTATTCAAGGTATCTTTAGGAAATTATGTGATTTTCTTATTAACGTCTCAGTTTTTTTTTTCCTTAAATTAAGATTAAGCTTAAATTAATCTTGCTTTCTCACTCATTTGTTTTATTTTGAAGGTCAACCACTTTATTCATCAGTGCTGCCAGTAATTCACCATGATGAATATGCCTGTTCTTGGCCAGAAAACCACAGATTTAAAATGGCTAAATTTACAAAATTGATGAAATATCTTCTGAAAGAAAATATAGTACTGCCTAAACAAGTTGTCCAGCCATTCAAGGCATCTTATGACGATTTGATTACTACTCATACACCACATTATGTACAAAGCTTTATTAATGGAACAATTGGACAAAATGAAATGAGGCAAACAGGCTTTCAGTGGTCAAGGGGATTGGCCAACAGATGTCTAGTAGAAGTAGGTATGTCACCACTTCAGTTTCTACACACTCATCTGTCCCCAAACATGGTGATGGACATGGCTGGGCATGTGGAGTTTTCCTGTTGTTCCAAGCAAATCAGAGATCTGCCTCTGGAGCATTGGCAAATAATCAAATATTGGTTATGCTGTAATATTATAACAATAAGTCAAAATTTTCACACAGTTTCTGATAGATTTACACAAGTCTTTCTCTGTTTACTCGCAAGCAATTTTGTCATTGGTTGCAGATCAATACCCTTGTCTTTGTTGAGCATCCTGTACACTTCCTTGATGACTTAGCTTTTCTTTTATGTTGGAATACAGGAGGAACAATACTTGCTGCAAAGGTTGCATTGCATTATGGCCTAGCTTGTAGTACTGGGGGAGGTACCCATCATGCCTTTCCATCGCATGGTTCAGGGTTTTGCATTTTCAATGATTTAGCAATAGCAGCATCTCATCTTCTGGATTATAATATGGTTTCCAAAGTACTCATAGTGGATCTTGATGTTCACCAGGTAAAAGCAATTACTAAGCTCTGTTATCTTACGGCATGATGTGACAGTGACTACTTTTTGATGTGTTTGCCATTTTGTCAGTCCATTACCATTTAAATAATAAAGTGCTATACAAATATGGCTTAAGACCCAACAACTTGGAAAATGGAGTAACAAGATTCATAGTACTTAACAGCTTTTTGCATCCTTTGTTTATTGCCATTGAAACACTGATTTGCGTAACTCACATTGATTGAGCAAAAAATAAGTTTTTCAAAATGTTAGCATTACATAATGCTTTATTGATACTGAACTGGTGCATATTCTTGTTAGATTGCCATACACAGTCTTAATGAATTGCTTGTTAGTTTGCCATTACACAGTCTTAATGAATTGCTTGTTAGTTTGCCATTACACAGTCTTAATGAATTGCTTGTTAGTTTGCCATTACACAGTCTTAATGAATTGCTTGTTAGTTTGCCATTACACAGTCTTAATGAATTGCTTGTTAGTTTGCCAT